TCAGTTACTCAGGTATAGGAATAACAGATTTTTCAGATAATATAATAGGCATAGATAAATAAAAGCAAGAATAAAAGAGCTCAATATTCTAGGATAAGAGAATAAAGCAATATAAACTGGAAACAAAAAGCACTTCAGTTTAGGGTTTGGTTTTTTAAAAAATTTTTTAAGCTACACAAGTTTGGGATGATCCGTAATTATTAAGTTTCATTTTTGCAAGCAATTTTCGATCCCTTTGTGCTCTAACCTTTGATTCATCTCCTTTCTGGTGATAGCTCTCATTTACTGCTGTGCGTCCCTCTGCTGGTACTTCCAGTCCCTGCAACAAGCTTGTGAGAACTCTTAACAGTCTCCCATTTTGCAGATGGGAAAAGTGAGGCCCACCAACGTTGTTGCTTGCCCAAGGTCACGCATCTAACTTGCTGTCTTCCGAGCTCTTCCTCCATGCTTGTCACCCCAAGAGCCAACTAGAGAGAAGAGATCCCAGTGATACATTCTTGCATCAGCTGACTGTTCTAAGTATTGCTTTGCAAATAATAAACATTCAAATATCAATGATTTTTAACATCCTGTTGTCTGTATCGTTCTTAGCAGGGAGAATGGAGGAGAGCGTAACTGGGTAGAGAAAGAGCACTAAGCCGTTCTTCTTTTTAATGGAAGAAAGTGCATGGTAGCATAAAAAAGTGAAGCAAAAGTCAACATGCCTCCTGAATCTACAGTATGTAAATGTCCATTGATTTCCCATTTTTAAGAACATTAGAGTTGAGTTTGAAGAGAAGTGAGAATTTTTCTCTTCTTACACAGATGGTCCCAGTGCTCCAAAAATCTGTAGGCTTAAAAAAATTTTATCGAGATAAATTTTGAGATGCTTACTACAATAACTATACTAGGATGGCCAGTGTCTATGTAAAAACTAGTCCAGCAGACAACAGTATGGTGGTTACCAGAGGGGAAGAGGAGAGGAGAGGGGTAGAAGAGGGAGAAGGGGGTCCAATATATGGTGACGGAAGGAGACTTGACTTAAGCTGGTGAGCACACAATGCAATATATAGATGATGTGTTACAGAATTGTATACTTGAAACAATCTTATTAACCGAAGTCACCCCGGTAAATTTAATTAAAAACCACTGGTCAATTTCAACAGTGGGAAAAGGCCACTAATGAGTTACCAAAGGCACATACTGCATATTCAGAGACCTCTGGTTCCTTTCTTCCCCCTGACGGGGGTTTGGCGTCCTCACCATGATGCGTTCCAGTACAACTCTCTTCAGAGTTTGGCTTCTGCAACTGTTTTCAGCCTTGCTTTCCTCCTCTCTCAAAGCCTTCTTTCCAGGCGGATCTCACACAGGCCAGACCCTTTTCAGGACCCCATGGTCAAGGTTTGGGGGTGGAAAAGCAGAAACCAGCACGCGCACACAGCCCTCACACAGATTCCAATAAAGGAGAAGGGGAATGAGAGAGCTCTCGGGAGTGAAATTTGGCTTCTGCTCTCCACGTCACCCATTTCCTTCTACCCCGCCTTCACCTTTTAGCTCGATCCATCCGTGTCTCACGGCAAGTCCAGAGTCTCCAGTCAGCCCGATTGGTTGCTGCCCATCAATGAATGGGTTGAAGTCTTGGGGAAACTGGCCGCCTCTAACCATCCAGTCTTGGCGAGAGGAGGGGGTTGACAGGGTAGGTAGGGACTCTTCCCAGGGCTGAGAAGTGGGCAGACGCTCTAGAGAAGTGTGTCCGGGCCTTCACATGCCTGGGAACCCTCTGGGAAGCTTGTTCAAAAGCAGAAACCCGCTCAGCAGATCAGTAGCCGGGGTGTGAGAATCTGCATTTCTAATGAGCTCCCGGTGGTGTGGGTGCTGCGGCCCATAGACCACACTTTGAACAGTGAGACTCTATAGGTGTTGTAGTCAGGGCATGGACTGCAGTGTATTCAGTACCTTCTTATTCTAGAATGTTCTCTGTTCTGTATTGACAAAGACTCTGCTCACTGTTTAAGATGCAGTTCAAATGTAACTTCTGCGGACCTTTTTGGGATCTTCATAGAGTTCATCTCCTGTAACTCCTTTGGGAAAAAAAATCCCACTTACCATTTGCCTAATAGTTACTTGTGTCTGTGTGTCAGCTCCATTTTTTTTGTTTGTTTATTCTACATTTTTTTTCCCAAGGTTTTTATTTATGTGAAGTTCTGGTGCATAGTCGGTGGATTTTACCAAGCTCATACAGCTGTGTGACCACCATACTTGATCAGAAGAGTCGCATCATCCCCAAAATGCTGCCTTCATACTCACGCCCGCCCGCCCCATGACCCCAGCCGCTGGCAACCACTGACCTGTTTCTGTTCCTGTAACTTCACACCCCATGTAGCCTTTGGAGTCTCTTCCATTTTCTTGCGTGTAGTTTTGAATCTGGGTAGTGTCATTCATCTTTGTTTTTTGTCCCAGTAAATGCCTGGCACAGATTTGGTGTTCAGGCACTCGTAATAGCTGTCACCGTAATCGGTCAAATGTCCTTTGAGAAGCCCCAGTCACCCTCAGTCAATCCCAGATGGGATGGGGCCTCCAGAGTCCCGGAGGTTTTACTGGCTGACTTTGTGCGGATGCTTCAACTCAGAGTTCTCCTAACTTGCCTGGTCAAAAGCACCTCCTAGGGTGTGTAATAAAAATACAGATTTCTGGTACCTTCCCCTGCAGATTTCGATTTCACAGGTCTGGAAAGAAGCCTGGGGACTCTATAGCAGCGCTTCTCAAATCTTGCTTGTACCAGAATGACCTGGAAGGCTTGGCAGGCCGCAGGTTGCTAGGCCCCGCTCCCCGATTGCTGACTCAGTAGGCCTGGAGTGGGGTCCGGGTGATGCTGACGTGCTCTGGGGACCCCACTCTGAGAACCACCGCTCTGCGGGCTCTGGGCTGTGACCAAGAGCGTCAGGTGATTCTTACATGTATCCAAATTTGTGAGATCCAGCTTCGGTGCCGTGGAGAGGGGAGGCGTGTGCAGGCACAAGTTCCTGTGTGCCGCTTGCCTCCCTGGCGTCCACCGCCCTTCGCCAGGGGTGGCGACGGCGGCAGCGCGCAGGGACCCCGCGGTGGAGGACGCTGAGGCTGGCTGATTCCTCCGTCTGCCCCGCGGCAGGGTGACCAAGCCGAAGGCGTCCGGCCCCCGCCGAGGGTGCCAGTGCCCGCCGTGGGCAGCGCCTGTCCCCGTTCTGTCCAGCTCTTCACACGGGCTTGAATGGTGTTGATGGGAAACGGTGTGAGTGTGTGTATGTGAGTATGTGACTCAGAGCAAACCCATGCGATTAAGGCCTGGATTCGGACGCGGAGGGGCAGTTCCTGTGGATGCCAGGGTGAGGGTAACAGCTGTTTAACTGCCCGTGAGAGGAGGAGCCGAAAGGAGAAGAAAAGGCTTGTTAAAAGGATTTGCCTTTGCAATCCCATCGAGCCTGAAGGAACGTGCGCTCTTAGGGAAGTGCGTGTTTTCTCAGGTCCAGGTAGATGAGGTGCCGGGACGGGGGAGCAGAAATCACGAGCTCTCACCCCCTCCCTCTGTAGGAGCCTGGGTTTGATCTGCCTATGGGAGAGGCCACCTTCTGCCGTCCACAAGGGCGCAAGGGGCACTTTCAGTGTGGCCTTTCTGAAAATGGGCAGGGTCCTGGGTCCCCACGGCTGGGAGTACGGCTTGTGTGACTCATGGTTCATTATCCCCGAACGTGGCGGGAAGGCACAGGAACGGTCCCTTGTTGGGTAGAGGTTTCTGCGTCCCGGAAAGCTGACCTAGCAGAGGAAGGGGCTGTCCGAAGGACTCTGAAGACAGGCCTGAGAGATCTGACCTCGGGATCATGCTCCAGCTCCGTGTCTGATCAGTGCAGGGGATGGTGGCGGCGGCGGCGTGCAAAGGTGGGGCAGGACTAGATGACGTTTGATTAGTTGGTAGCATGGATGATCTCTTTATCTACTTCTTTTATATCCAGTTTCACTAAAGTTTTACATTTTATTTTTACCTTTTAAAATCAACCTACTAGGGAGGAGGGCTGTCATCGATTTGCATTGCTCCTTAGATCAAAATCTTAGCAAAACTTTTAAAATACCTGTGCATAGGACTATAAACACAAACAACTAATTTTTTTTAAAATGCCTGTCAGTCTTGAATATTTATTCAGAGAACTTTTTACCTGTCTGATTTGCTATCTCTCACTTTATGTTCACCTGTGAATTTCTTTTTCACAGTCAACTTTTAGTTCTTTCTGTTGATGTTCATTCAAGGTGGCAAACAAAAATGAAATTTACTCTGTAAATGTTATTTTATCCAATTATTTTGTTCCATTCTTGAGCCAGTTCTTTTTTAGCTACTATCTTTAACAAGGTATAGAATGGCTTGGCTTGGTTGTAACTTTCTTTGCTCATTTATTCTGCAAAGAAGTAGTGAAATAACTAAAAATGGTCAACAGGAGGAAGGACAAGGAGCTATCAAAACATTATGAATATAGCAATCACCTCTAAATAATTAATAGTTGACAGAATTTTGTGGCATTTAATTCTGTAATTTGTAATTATAGAGATAAGACGTTAATCCAAGCCACTATGTGCCATGTTCCCTGACCATGTTGCAATACTGTGTGTCTCACTTCAGCAATAATATATTAGAGCTCACACTGACCTTGGATAGCAGACAGCTTGTAAGGAGTTTACATTAAGATACAATGATTTTATTGTCTTATTTGTTTCACTTAAATATTAAAGTCTCTCTTAAAAAGCAGCAGCCTGGTCTTTTGAGAAAATTAAAATAAGGAAGGTTTTTAAAAAACGTATTTAGAAATGAAATACTCCCTATAGCTTGATGTGTCTTTTTGATCTTGACCTTGAGCGCTTGCACGCTGGGGAGGCAGCGTGGAAGGCATCTTGGGTTTAAAGGCAGTGTGGGACTCAGGCCAGTCACAGTGTCACAGGCTTATTTAAGCACCTGGACTGAAGCTCTTGTTTCTTGTGGCACAGGAGCGAGGGTCCCCATGGCCCTCGCAGGCTGGGTTTGTGTGGCCCCCTGCCTGGCTTCCTGCTTATCTGCTTTGCCCACGGTGCCAGCTCGGTGGCCTGTGAGGACATGCAGCGCAAGCACATTCGAGCCCAGCCCCAGAGCCCCAGGACCCACCATGTCACCATTCACACCAGCAGGTCCTCCTACTCGCCAGGTGACACGGTGCCAGGTGTGTATGGGAAAGGCCTTGAAACACTGGGGGAGTCCCAGGGTCCTAACAACACACTCCAAATTGTGTTTGCCCCACCAGGAGTTTCCTGGGCTACAGGGTGGCTTAATCCTAAGGAGCAATTATGTAGCCAAAGACGGGAATGAAATATTTGTTATCCAGAAAACCACATAGCTAATCTCTCTATTGATATTCATCTTTACAAGGGAAAAGGGCACGGATAGCATTATCATAAAACATTAGTCTGTCCCTATTATGAGATATAAATGGAGTTACTCTGCACAAACTTCATGCATCCTGTGTATCTGCATGTGGAAAATAGATTCTTATTCTCATTTAAAACTAAAACTATTTGGGGAGTGAAAAGGACATTTCCTGCCATTTTAGTTCACATGCCTGCAAAAGCAGAGAAAGAACTCAAGCGCAGCTGGTGTATTAGGGAAGTGATCCCAGGAAGCACAGACGAGGAAGAGAGGAAAGGGAGACGAGGACAGAGACACAAATTGCGCAGGTCACTGCTGTGGGCAGCTGGGCCTTGCTCCAGGGGGACCTCTAAGAACCCACATGAAACTCCATGGGGGTGTTTCCATCAACCCCTAACCGCCCCCTCCCCCGCCGCCAGCCACACACATGCAGACACACACACACTCTTCAGAGTCACGCCTGCCTCCTTGGACCAAGCTCCCAAGAGGCCAGGTAGTAAAGCAGAGAAGAGCGCTACAGGTGCTGAGGGCGGCAGCTGAGTGTAGGCAGGAAAGTGTCCGTGTGGCTACAGGTGAACTCCTTTGATTTTTGCTAATTCATTCAATGGGAATTAGAAGTGATAAATGAAAATGAAATCTGCTCTTGACATATTGTGTTATCCAATCATTTTGTTCTATTGATAAGTGTGTGGGAGGAATGTATGTAGGTAAGATAATAGCCCCCTCCCCCAGCCAACTTACACCTAACCCTGAAATTCAGGCTGTTCTCAGTTTCCCAAATGCTGTCACACCGTGGCACAGCTAGAAAATGGCAGCGTGTGTGTAGCAGGCTGGGGCCAACGCAGGGGGCCGCCCGAGGACGGAGGCTTCTCCGAGCCCAGCCGTCCCCACAGAGGGGGGTCCCCAGGTCGGCAGCCGGCGTTCTGTGGCTAGGGGCAGGGACGTGGCGAGGATCAGCACATCTATTAGGGAGGAAGATCTGCAGAAACGACCCAATATATGGTGACACCGAATCTTTATAGGAGGTGAATGAGTAGAAACAATTGGGTTTACGATCGGAACTAAGACAACATGCGTAATAAGGGGCTGAAGGGAGCACCGGGTGGGTTCAGTGAGAGTCAGTTTTTACTTGTTAGGTCTCAATTGCTGGGGTTTTTTTTGTTTGTTTGTTTTTTTCTGGGATCCCACCCTAATCTGTGAGCTCCTTGAAGGGGAGGACCGCACGATCCCGTTCAGGCCTGTGTAGTCCCTGCCTAGCGCAGTGCCTGCTCTTGAAGAGTAACTGAATATTGTTCAAAGGTTTATCATTAAAAGGTCAAATGCATGGAAAATAAAATGGTCACAGACACTAAGTTGAGTTTAGTAAGCCCATAAAAGTTACTACGCTGACTTCAGTCACTATTTAATTAGAAATGAGTGGCTAATTTTTAAAAAATTTATAGATAGCTTGAAGATATTATTATATGTTTAAAAAATATTAAAACAATACAAATAGTAGAAAATAAAAAGTAAAAGTTTTCTTTCCCTTGTTCTGGACACTCAATTTGATTCCTTAGAGGTAACCATTGTTGTCTCTTGTACATTTTTCCAGAAATCTTCCATTCACGCAAGTGTGATATCTCCAATGAATATAACCTTATGAAGACACAAAGCATTCTGTTCAGTGTCTGCATTTTTCACCCAGCAATCATACTGGTATCTTTCAGTGTGTACATAAGCTTATTTTCAGTGATTTCATGACACTCAGTTTTCTAGAGATCATGTGATGGATTTAAATAGTTTCCTATTACTGTTTCCATGTTTTCCATATCGACTTTTTCTAAGTTTTTGGCATTATAGAAACTTTTTTTGACATCTTTATACTTTTGCTCATTGCATGAGCCAGGATTCTTTTAGTTGCAAGTGCCAGAAAAGCTGATTAACAGAGAGTTGGTGGGTAAAGGAAGACGTTTGATTTTCCCGCTGAGTTTGACGGTGGAGTTTCTTTGTTTGGTGAAGTGACTCAGTAATGGCAAGGTTTGAAGGGGTTTCTGTGTTCCTGCTCAGCCACCGTCAACGAGCCGGGTGTCATCCTCTGTCATTGCCCAGGCTTGGGGGGGCTTCTGGGGTCGTAGGTCTCATGCTGGTACCAAAGCTGGAATAAAGTTTCTAGGGGGCGAGATTTATTCTCAAGACTCATGAGCCCTCTCTGCTGACTTGCTGGCCTTGGCCAGATCCGGGCCACGGGTAAAGAGGACCTTGTAGTGCCCATTTTAGTCTGAGGACACGGAGGAGCCCAAGTGTTTTGAAAACGAGAGGGCTCCGCTTGCCACGTGAACATAACAACATCTGGGTTCTGTTTTCAGAGCCTAAGTGGAGAAAGGCGGCTGGGTAGTGAACTTCAGAGTTTGCCCCATTGATTTACGTGGGTGTGTCGGTCGCTAGATCAGAGGGTATCTAAGGGTCACTGTGCGGTGTGTGTGGGTGGCTTTTATACATGACGTACGCTTTACCATTTTTAAGTATACAATTCAGCGGCATGAAGTACATTCACAATGTTGTACACCCCTCACCGCTACCCATCTCCAGAACTTTTTCATTGTCCTGAGCGAAGCTCCCTCTCCCTTAATCACTCTCCATCTGCCTGTCCCTCCAGCCCCTCGTGATCTTGACTCTTCTGTCTCTATGAGTTTGCCTCTTTTAGGTAGTGCATGAAAGTGGAATCATACGGTATTCCTCGTCTCGGGCCTGGCTTATTTCACTTACTATGATGGCTTCTAGGGAGATCCATGTAATAGCATATATTAGAGGGAACTGCATTTTAATGTGGAAAATACTATGAGGTTAGCCCCTGGAAGAGTTGGCTCGTTTGGAATTGTAGCATCAGTGAATGAGCGCTCTCATTGTCCTGTAGTCCAGTCAAAACTGGTTGTCATTACGCATTTTAAAATTTGTTTATGTGACAGGTATAAACTAGTATCTCATTTATAATTATTTTTAAGATTATATTTGAATTTGTTGTATTTTCTGTGGTATCCTTTCATAATTTTGGGTTATCTTTTTATGGGTTCACTATAACTCTTTGTATATTTGTCTGTTTTGTATCTTATAAATACTTTCTCAGTTTATTATTATTTTTATTTCTTCCATATTCAGAATTTTTTAAAAATCATACTTTCCTTTATGGCTACTGGGTTTTGCTTCGAGGGGCATTCCTAACTCCCATATTTAAGGGGGTGGGGGGAAGTGTTGTTTTAAATTCTTTTGTATTCCATTTTTGCATATCTCTGATCCAAATGGAAATTATTTGTGGTATAAAATAGCACGTCAGGACTTCTTTTCTCCCCTATTAAATGTTCATTTTGTGGGGGCTGGCCTCAAACCTCAAGCTTTCAGTTTCGAAGATGCCCACCTAAAACCAGCATGTGGCCCTATACAGAGAGTGTCACCTCAAATGGACGTTCTCTGTTTCAGTGACTGTGAGGAGTAGCCGTGACTTCATGGGATTTTTACTTCAGGCCCGAAGAGGGTCCGATCATCAAACAGCCAGCACTTTGCTTCTTGTTCCGCCGCGTTCCAAACTGATGGCCTGTTTGGAAGAGGCCAGCGTGGTCACCCACTTGGACAAGTCCCGGAAGAGAACCCTGTCCTTCGTGTGGAAGGCCCCTGCCCAGGCTGTGGGGGGACCTCAGGTTCCTAAAGAGAGCAAAGCGCCGTTTCTTCGTCACTAGCCTTCCACTTTGAAAAGAGGGGAGTTTCCCCTCCACTTCCCCCACCTCTGGCTGCCTTACCACAAGGACAGAGCCCTGGGGCCCGTCCAGAGGGCCTATGTGGAGGGTAACTAAAGAACATTTGCCCCCATCGCCCTCCTTTGCCATCATCCCTGGTCCGTAGTGTGCGACTCCCCGTCTTCCCTGGGCACAGGTGAACCTTGGTCAACATCCCCAGGAAATTCTCCCTGGAGGATCGGAGGGCTGCTGGTGGGAGGGCAGAGAGACAGCCGAGAAGGAGCGAGGGAGGCTGGCAGGCAGGCGGGCCCCGTCCTGGGCCCGGGGGAAGCCGCTGAAGTCTCTGCCCGTTGACTGGGCGGCTGTCCCGTGGGTATAACAATGACAGCTCCACCTCCTAGGGGTGGGCCAGTGTGGGCCGCAGGCTCAGGATGCTGCCTGGCCACAGAGAGCAGGGTGCACGCGTCACCTTTGCTCAGAATCAGGCACTTGTGTTTGCCAAGAAGGAGAATTTTATTGTTGTTTTTAGGAAATGGTGCATTTCTTTTCTTCCTCAGTTGCTTTTCCCCACTTGCTCAGAGATACAAGAGGAAGGCGGAACCTATGGGTGGCAGCATCCAGATCCCGGGCTTCCCCGCTGCACTGGACAGTGAGCGAGGAGAGGTGTCCACCTCGTCCTTGCGTCCCAGGCAGGACAGCGAGGGGAGAACCCCATGCCGTGATGCTACCCACTCGGCTGCTGGCGTGACCCAGCTTCTGCCATGCCTTCGGTTCTGATCCAATGCAGGCGTGTGCAGTGTGTGAACTCCTTACCCTTGTGGAGTTACTTCTATTTCTCAAAGCATCTCATTTTTAGTCTCAGATTTACCATCGCAGCTGCTATGTGGTGCTACATAAGAAGTGGTTTGGAGGCTATGATCTCCATTTGGCAGAAAGGGGCTAAGTCACTTGACCGGAAGCCTCTCCCACCCCACGCTCTCTCCCCCCAGGATTCTTTCCCATGATAACATCCACAGTGGAGGCCTGCACAGAACTCTTGCTGGCACCCTAACTCTCTGGATGGCCTCAGCTAATTAGTCACATTTTTATAACTGTTTTCTGATACTTACAGTGAGAAAAATAATGCTTGCCGATAATCCCTGCCTCAGTAAAACCTGGGGGAGGAGAATGAGAGAATGTTTATGAAACTGAATTTTTACTGAAGAAAGGCATTATGTATTTAAAATATAACTTAGAGTATTTACTAATGATTTATTTCTAATTTTCAGTAGAATCTGTGATTGCAATAGAATTGTACAATTGTACAAAAGAATTATAAATTTTCAATTGATGGTGTGATTCAATTAACAATATACCAGTAGTGGCTAATAATAAAGTCAAAGATTAAACCTTTTGGATCTAAATAGTTAAAGAAGCTACGCTTTAATCAAAATGAGATTTTTTAATGGTTACATTTCTTGATTTGTGCTTGTCCTCTCCTATTTTCATTATTAGCTGCTACTGAGTTTTTTTCTTTAAAACAATGAAGTCATTCAAGGGGTAATGTAATCATTTCTCTCCGGTTCTTCTATTCGTTTAGACTTTTGTTCTTCTCTATCTTTTTGTTCATTCTCTTTTCTAGTAGGATGACCCTCGGTATTAGTCAAGGAAAACTGAACCCTCAACCACTTCGCTTTCTTCTTCCACAGTTTATCAGTCGCCCAGTCATATTTCATTTACTGGGCAAGGACTGAATCATCTGTTGTGTCTCAACAGACACAAAGCAGAGCCCATTCCACGGCCGCGTGGAACCAGGCCCACTGCGGCCAACCCTGGGCAGAGGCCAGAGGGTATTGGAGGACCTGCCCCAGGTACCACAGCCGGGTTGTCATCGTTATTTTTATAGTGATCTATTTTCACTTCAGAATGACTAGTTTCCAGTTTCTGCAGCACAAGTAATAAACACCCTCCTCGGCCGACTGTTAAGCAGGTCTTGGGGGTGTGGTAACAGATGTTAGCAGGCGGGGATGTGTGCGGTTGCTGCGGTTGTTGCAACAAACACTATTTGTCTGCTTAACCTGGCAAATCAGGTTGAGCTCTAGGCTGACGAGTTAGAGCGGTGCTACAAAGCTGAAAAATAGTACTCACCTTCCCCACCCTCACCTTTACCAGTCATCACAAATCCTGAAGCTACCCAGAAGCTCAGATATACATGATCTTTTCTTCTATTTTTAAATAAAAACTCACCCAGGTTTCATTGTGAGTTTCCACAGTAGGAAGATGGCTCTTTGCAGCCTGGGCTCTTTGCCATCACCTGGGAAACTTCTTTTATTATTATTATTATTATTAATCCTCACCTGATTTTTTTTATGGATTTTAGAGAGAAGGGAAAGAGAAACGGCTATGTGAGAGAGTAACATTGGCGGGAGAACAGAATCAGGAGAGACCGTTTGGATGACAATGGATGTTTTTCCTGGTTCACCATATGACTTTAGACCCCGTTGGCCCGTGAACTTCTGAAACAAACAAAAACAAAAAACGAAAACATTAACCAGCTAGAGAATGCTTGACCCACCTGAAAATTACTGGTGCTATGGAATTCATTTTCATCGTTTATTTCTAGTTAAGTGCTCTGAACAGATGCGTTCAGAAAGGCATCCAATCCCTTGCACAGAAAATCTAGCGTTCTCTCCATTCAGTCCCACTTTCCTTTATTCTTCCCTCGCTCTTGGCTAACAAGGCACGCCCAGGACCTGATTTGTATCCCTGACTTTGCTCACCCTGGCGGACCCAGCTCAGGGCTCACCATGGGCTGCCCCTTCGCCCCACACCCTTGTCCTCTCCCCAGTGCCCAGTGCTGCTCCTCCAGCCTCCCCGCCAAGATATTCCTAAAAGCAGAGAAGGCATTTCAGAGTGGCCCACAGAAGACCCTGCCAGCCCACCACGCATCGGAAGTCTCATGTTTAATTTTATAAATCATGCAAATGTTACTTTCTAACCCCAAGCATGCTGCTTTTCATATGAATATGAATAAAAGGGAGGCTTCAGGAAGAGGCTTCCTGAGTCCTGTGGGTCCTACCCCCTCTCTGATGGTTGACCCTGCTGGGAAGCTTGTCTCCCAGGGGGTTGAAAACTCCGGACTGAGCAGCCACAGGGTAAAGTCCTTATTATGCTGCTGACATTCCTCCTCTTCTGGCTCCAGTCTGTTTTCCTGCCTCTTCCTCTTCACAGACCCTACGTTTCCCTGAGGAAAAAGGAGTGAGTGAGTGTGTGTGTCTGTCTGTCTGTCAGGGGAGGTATCATTCATCTAACAAAGAGTAATAGATTTGTTAGCTGTAAGAAGACCTCAGTAGGCCAGTGGGAATTATAAATTTTCACAATGGGAAGACAGCGTATTGTATTTCTCAAACATTTCCCAATAGACCCTTGGGACACTGTGGGGCCCTACCCAACCTCATTGGATGTGACCTACTTTGGTGTCCATGTGTTGCCTTCTGATGTTTCCTCACACTGGACTGCTCCTCAGGATGATCTATTTATCTTCCCAGGGGCTGTTCAGATGTCTCCTTTGTGGAACTTTTCCCCATACTTCTTGGTAGGCAGATATAATTGCCTCCTTAGCTCTGGTATTAAAGCTGTCATCACACTATAATTGATGAAGTTGGGCAACTAAGAGTTTCTCCTTCTAGATTTAAGTTCAGAAACAAATCACCAACCTGCACCTCTTCTGCACCTGCAACAATGCTGGCACATAGTGGGTCTGCAGATGTCCGAATGCATTTAGAGTTCAGGCGGAAATTTTAAAAAACTGTTGGAATGTTTGCCACATTCTCTGTGCCTAAGTTAGACTTCTTTGTTTTTCACTTGTTCTTGATGTTTTGGAGTGATGAAGGCATTGGAACAAAATAATACCACCCTCCCTCCCCCCAAAAGATTCAACCCAACCTGGTTGGAGTCATGGGTAGAGAGACTCCTGCCAACACTTCTTGTGAACACTACCTCTGTAGCTCTAATTGTGGATTGAGGCGGTAGACCCTCGGCACAAGCCTGGGCCAGGAGAGCTTCATACTTCTTCAAAGACTTCATTCCCCCCGCCCCCCAACAACTACATGGTGTAGGTAGTTGTTGATTCCATTTTGCAAGTGAAGAAACTGATGAAAGTGCAGGAGAAATTGCCTAAAGCTTCCAGGAATTAGCCAAATGGAGAACAGAACCCCATGATTTGGCTGCAAAGCCTGCACTTGCTTACTGCATTGTGTGCGTCTCTTTCTAATGCCAGCCAGTCACAGGGGGGAAATAAGGCAGCGGCAGGAAGTTCAGGGCCTCTGCAGCACAGGCTCAGGTCAGTATCATCACCTGGGAAACTTCTTTTATTATTATTATTGTTATTATTATTTTTAATCATCACCTGAGGATATTTTTTAATTGATTTTAGAGAGAGAGGAAGGCAAAGAGAAACATCTATGTGAGAGAGTAACATTGATCGGTTGCCTCCTATGCACACCCCGGCTGGGGATTGAACCTGAAACCCAGGTATGTGCCCTGACCAGGAATAGAACCCACAACATTTTGGTGTATGAGACGATGTTCCAACCAACCAAGCCACCTGGCTGGGGTATCTGGGAAACTCATAGTGTTACTAATATGGCAAGAAAGATGGAGCACTTTTAAAAATCTTTGATTTGTGAGATTCTACTTTTTTTCTAACTAGGAGCAGATTTTGGCAGAGGTGAGAAAAAATGCAGTGGTCTCTATATTCCCTGATGAGTGCCTGTTAGGAATGTACAAGCCCAGAAGTCCAGGGAGTTACACTCTAAAGACCTAAGAAATGGAGTGCGTTGCTGCTTGGTAGGAGCTTATGTTACTGGTCAGATCATTTTTATGTTGACACTTCTGAGTGGCTCACACTTAGTGGTCTATCCTCAAGGCACATTAAAGTCTCTAGTATTTACCCATTATTATAGCTGTTGGTGCTAATCAACACCAGGAAAATGCTCTCACTCTCTCTGTGGTGTCTTTGGGCCTCTGTTCAGCTCCCAGTCTGCCCATCACTCTTTCGCAGCAGCGCACGAGACGCCCCTGCTGCTGCCGTCGTGGGGGCTGTGGAGGAGGACAGCTTAGATCCTGTTCCTGCCAGTGCTGGGGTATCAGAGTTTCATCGGGGTGCAGAGACTGTGTTCCAGCTATCGCTGCACACAGCTACTACTGTCAGCGATGGCCAGCCACCCAGCAGGGACAGCAATCCAACCCTAGAACCCTCCCTGGATGTCCATGGGCTGAAGAGGCTGGTGGCCCTCAGGAGCTTGTTCACCCAGGGCTTTGCTTCCTGCCCCAGCACCCACCACAGGTAATGGGCCAGGGGGGTGGGCCAGGCCATCAGGTGGTGGGATGAGGCCAAGCACCAGGGTGCTGAGGAAATGCAAACTTCTTGGAGTCTGAGAGAAAGAGATCTCGACCATATTTATCCTTAAGTGTATGAGAAACCCTGATTGTAGGAGGGCTACTGGTCAAAAGGGCTGGGTATGATAATCACCTGGGGAAGGGCACTCTCTTGGATGGGGTGAGGTCTCTGACATGTTGCTATCAATAAAGCAAAATATAAATATCTTTTATATTTTATATATATAAATTTATAATACATACATATGCATTTATATAAAATAATAAATAAAAGCGTTCAGTGAGTTCTTTGCTGTCATCCTTTCTCACCTCTCCCCCGACCCCCACCTCCAGCCTCTAACTCCAAACTCAGACATCTTTCAAGGAAATCTGATTTTATCAGCATACACAGCAGGGACAGGAAAAGTTGCTTTTTGATTCAAATACTTAATGGCCTTTCCTCAGCACTTCTCTCCTTCCCTTTAGGGCTCAGGGTGATCCAAGCTCTGATTCCTTGGAAACTTGCCTGTCCTCAGATAGGAACGAACAGGTAACAGCCCAAGTTATGCAAGGGGGGTGAGGTTGGTATTTTGAACTCAGAGTGTGAAGTTCCAGATTGGGTAATCAGACCTACTAGAGTAGTAGCCAAAGCAAGAGAGAAGGAGGCAAGGGTATAACATACACATAGCATTGTTCTACCAATCAATACCAGCCTTTGTCTCTGCAGTTATTGGCAATTGTAGAAATTGATAGTTTAAGTGATTTGTTTTCCCACTCAGCCTTGATGAATAATTCCTCTCTCCTCCCTGCCCCCCAACCCTTCCTTCATAACACTGACCTCACAAGACCATGTGTGGTCCCAGAGGTTAGATCAATGGACAATATAAAACATGCATACTCACTGATTTACTATTCCCTTGAAGTTTTAAAAAGAATGCAGAATAAAACATGGTGTAATGTTCTTACTCAAATTTACCAGAACCACCATCAAGACTAAATGGCCCCCCTTGCGTGGGTGTTAGCATGAACGAGATGCATAAAGCTTTCGGCCGTCGCAGATGACAGTCACCGGTCTTGGTCTGGGAGCCCCCCTACGTGTATTTGTGCACCCGGCCTCCGTGTTCTCTGTGCAGTTTCCATGAGCCGCCCTGTCCCCATTGATAACAAACACATAGCTATCTACTCGGGCTTCTGACTCTGAGCTCTTTTAGGAGCAGATGCGAGACGGGGTTTTCAGCTGCTGCCTGGAATTCTTTAAAGAATACAGGTTGGCTGCAAAGTTCAGTGGCAACTTGGGTGAAGACCAGCCCCTTGGACGTTTTTCCCTTTGCTTTTCTAGCACAAGGTGGGGGCCTCTAACAGGACCATGACAAGGCCTTGCCTGGACACTGTCCCTCTTACCTATCCTCGGTGCCTCTGGCCCTCTGAAGCACTGGCTGGGGCTGGGCTTGGGGCTGGGCTTGGGGCTGGGGCTGGGACTGGGGCTGGGACAGCCAACGCAACTCCTGTCTTCCATGCCTCGGCCTCTCCCAGGCCACCCGCTACTGCTGGCTGGTCAGAGGTATCTGGGCCCTCTGCCAGCTTCTTGCCTCGGTCAAAGCACAACCTACCCAGAGTGGAAGAGGGAAATGGAGAGGGCAGAGTGGGCTGCCCCAGGGAGGCCCATCCAAGGCCTGAGGCTGGGCAAGAGGGAGCCAGTGCCCCTTCAGGGATCCAGCTCAGGACTCCCCAACTGGGAATCCTGCTTTGTCTTTCGGCCACCTTGGGCATGGCTTTGGCTGCTGGCCTTTGTGACCTACACACCCAGTGTTGCCACAAGCAGACGAAGGTGTCCTTCAGGGAGCCAGCCCACGATGCCGTTGCCAAGAGTGACAGTGATGAGACTCGGCATGTCAGGCAGAGCCGGGAGAACAGTGGTGGTTTGGTTGGAGCTGACCACAACTGGATCACTCCCTCTGCGGGTAGCAAGAAAACAGTCCTCTGAGAAGCCCATGGTCCCAGGCCTCCCTGTGGCCTCTGTAGGCCCTGTAGACTGGTCTCTCAGCCAGGACAGAGCTAACGAGAGCAGCTGACGAGCGCCGGGTGCTGTCAGCATGCGGCTGGCGGAGGAAGCAGCGGAAGGACGCTTTCATCCACGGCATCCTTCCCGAGCTTTGTTGTCTTACCATCTGCATTTAGCCGCTTTTTTCTTTTCACAATTAGACGTTCTGTTTGAAGAGTTAAACTCAGCACAATGAATATTGTATAACCTGCTCATTAACTAGACTCCTGTGGCCTCTGAGCTTCCTCCGTTGCCTTAAGGAACCCGCGGAAATAAAAACTGTGTCCCTCTTCCGCGTGTCAGCCTCATCTCCTCTAACGCTTTGAAAAAAAAGGAGTGTTGGGGTTGTGTCTCTTGCAAGAGAGAGAACTGGAGCCCTTGCTTTGCCTCTCCAAACCACCCCAAGGAAGTCTGGTTTTTTAAACCTGGAGTTCAGAACTGGCTTTGATTATTGGGCTAGGTGAGTGCAAGGGCATTCAGTCTCTTCGGAAACTCAGAGGTCCAACATTCGTCCGCCATGGACATCGATTGGGGTAAAGAGAATTTGAGAGAGCCGGATTAAACACATCTGGGGGAAAACACACATGTGCACCCTGGGCCGTAAATGCCAGAGTGGGGCAAGTAAGCCTCTTCTTCAGGTGTAAATGGAGCTGAGGTCTCCCATCCCTTTGCACTTGATGAGAGGCTCCTGCAGTTAGCAGACATGTGACCTTTTGGCCCAAGGTCAGGCCAAGAAAAAATGCGGCCAGCCCAGTTCAGAGAGGAGCCTCTGCTTGTCTTTCCAGGAATTGTCAGTCAGAGCGTACCCTGGGTGGAGACCACCTACTGCGCTGTGACTCTATGAAGGTCATTTTGGTTTAGCAAGAGTTCCATAGATACTACAAAGGGTCAAAATAGCAGGTCTGAATATAAATCTTGAATATGCTCATCTCATACGACACGTAATTAACTGCCTTTTCAGAGGTAGGCTACTAGAGTCACGGGCCATTATAATGTGGAAAAAAAAGCCACTATAAATTCAGGAAGGGTATTTATTTATTGAGCCTCTAAATCCTACAGGCACAGCACTAAGAACTTCACGTATATTTCACTTTTAATCTTCTCAATAACTTAATGAGGATTGAGTTCAGTACTTGCCAAAGAGAGGCATTCATGATGTGTCAACTCAACAACAAAAGCATTCCTTTTAAATTGGGTGTGTAGGAAAGAGAGGCCCCTCCTCGTTTTCCAGCTCTGTTAGCTCATTGGCATCAATCCTGGCACTTTCTTCTCCTGAATTCTGGGCCAGACGCATCCTTAGGCAAGAACCTCATGAGCACAGGGAGACCTAGGTGTTCACAAATGGACGTGCTCAAGGAACGCTATGGAAAGACACGAATGCACTGTGCTCAGTGGGGGCCACAGACATCGCTGCTTCATGCCCGACCCTCCTCAGAGACACCCCACTCCCCCACAAATGCAAACAAGGGACCTTCTCGGAGGAGTTCTCACTTGACCACATCAGAGCTGGGGGACCACATACGAACACAACACCATCCAGATCTTTCCTGTCCACGAGGGTATTTTCCTGGGTAACCAGACTGTTTTGTTTATCCATTGGTGTGAAACAAACCACCCCACAACTCAGTGGTGTAGAATAGTCAGTGCCACTCCCATTCAATATCTTTCAGGGTCTGGGGTTGCCGGTCCCCACCAGGCAGTTCTTCAGCTTCCCGGATTGTTGCCTGGGCTGGAATATCGCAGGCGACTCACAGGGCTGGTAGCTGGTGCTGGCTGTCAGTTCTCCTCTTCACGGCGTCTTTCAGCGTGGGGACTGGGTTCCATGTGCAGTGCTCTAAGCAGACAGACCCAGAAGCTGGGCACCTCTTAAAGTCCCCCCTTGAGGGTAACATGGTTTCGCTTCTGCCACTTCCCAGTGGTTGTGACAAGAAACAGGGCCAGCCCTCACCCTTCAGTGGGAAGGGCACTCGATTTTACTCTTTGATGGGAGAAGTGGCAAAGGATGCGAAGCTGCCTCCCATTTACTGCCTCTCTGGTTGAACCGCTGACTTGCCGCGGGGCTTGCGTGAGAGCGGGAGAGGCTGCTCATCCCAGGATATGCCCTGGGACACCCTCCCTGCAAAGCATCAGAGCAGGTGGGAGAGGTCTCCAGGCTTCAGGGCTAGGTAGGCATTTCCCCTCCTCCAGCTGGGAACTCCAGCCCCGGCAAAAGGGTGAAGCGACGCAGAAGGGTGGGCCGTACCTCGGAGCCTCTGCTTCTTCATCAGAGGAAACCGTATCCCAAAACCACTCACCTCTTTCTGCTGCTGAGAAGAAGAAACACATGTTCAACATGTAGCCACCTACGATTAAGTATTGAGCTGACACGCTAGTATTCATAGCGTCATCCTGCAGCTGCGACGCTACTTTTCCATCCAGTCCAATTCCAGAATTTCTGTGACCACCAATCACACGTGATTCCTTCTCCAGGACAGCCTCAGTCCCCGTGGTCCCTTCTTCCCCAGCCGAGCAAATGAAGGCCTGAGTCACCATGGTAGCCATGGGCCACAGTGCCTGCTGGGGTTGGGCTTTTCTGCTGAGGCTTTCTGAGTCAACTCTATTTTGGCAAGGGTGGCTGGGGTCCATAGACCTGCCGTCAGGAGACATGAAACCCCTTAGCTCTGCCATCCTGAAAGTCCTCTCAGCTTGACCTCAGACAGGCCCCAGAGGGGAGCTGCTGGGAGGCGTTAACCTGGAGGCGCTTCCTAAAGCACAAAGCCATTAAAAGTTTTTAAAAGGCGAAGGACTCCAATACAACATCTTAAAAATAGCTTTTTTGGTTTGTAGGAACAGCTACAGAATTGTTCAGCCAACCACTTCTTGCAGGAGAAAGAGTTTGGGGCTGAACACATATTTAAGGGAAAATAACAGAAACACAATTGCAGAAACTCTTCGTGTTCTAAACAAATATTTTTTGCATCTATTGTGTTAATTTAATAGCCACAGATTGGGGGTGGGGTAGGCCTTAACCTTTTTTACATTCAGAGTCTATTTCTGATATTTCTAATTAATTCCTCCCCTTGGATACTGTAATTTTGCTAAATCATGACTTAATGCCCAACCGGAGCCTGGCTGAGCTATCTCACTGTGGAGGCTGCCTGGATTAATTTCCTGTTACAATGTTTGTTTTCTTTTGAAAAAAATTCTAATTAATGACAAACAACAACAACAACAACAAAATGGGTCAACAAGCCAGTAAATATTTAAACAAGTGTCGTGTTTTATTTGCAAAGTTGTGTGGGAAGGGCTGGCAACTTATGAACAAATTACAGTTAGCGAGCATACCCTCTCCCAGTCTTGAACTTGCCCTGTTAATTTGTGATTCCAGCCTTTCTGAAATGCAGGCTCTGTGATTTGGTTCCCTTTCACCCCAGCTGATCCCTGTCTTCTAAAAGTGGTGTGTGGCGAGAAGTTTCTTTTATTCAAGAGAAATGAAGTCGCATTAATTTGTTTTATTAAACTTGAGAACTTCTTCCTAGTCTTAGGATACTCCAAACTCTGCTCCATCTGGCCACAGGAGGTTGCAAAACCAGCCCTAGTAATCTCTGGCTTAAAATATCAGGAGGACCTTTAATGACACAAAGAAAGAGGATATTTTGTCTGTTTATTCTGTTCTTTAAGTGCAAAAAAAAAAAAAAAAAAAAAAAAGAACAGAACATTTTGAGACTTTGCTGCACTGTGAGCAGCCAGGACAACCGAAGCCTGCCAAGTGTATTTTGGTGTTCTCTGTTTGTTTGTTTGTTCTGTTTTTTGCTCTTAAACTGTAAATCCGTTCATGCCACACTGTCTCTGATTTCTCTAATGGCTTTCCATCTCAGAATAAAATATAAACGTCTCATTTGGCTGACCTGGTACTGGGAGACCTGGCCCTTGGACCACCTTCGTGACTCCCAAACATTCTCAGCGCCCTGTGAACGCTGCTCGAAGGCTGAGCAGCTCCGTTCAGCTCACTTGCTCTGGCTGCTTTTGACTGGAACCCCCTCCCCCTCAGGTATCCACAGGCCTTCCTAACTTTTTCGATGTTGTCTCCTCAGAGTTGCAACCTCTTCTCGCTCTCATGTCCCCGCCCACTTTATAATATTCATAGCATTTCTTATCTCCTGCGTCTTACGTATTAATTTGTATTTTTGATTCTGTTCTGCCTCCCCCTGACGAGGGTGCTGTATAAAGGCAGAGACTTTGTTCTCTGCTATATGCCCAGCACCTAGAGCTGTTCTCGCTGTTCCGGGTACTTACTAAGGAATCAGTAACTATTTGCTGACCGAGTGAATGGACAGTCCATGTTTGTGTTGGTATTACCAGCTCCTGACCTAGATCGAAGCAGACTATAACATCTTGGGCAACTCCAGGGCGCTTGGGCAAGCAATGCGAGGTCCTCTCCGAAGCCAAACTAAAGAGTTCCATGGGGCCACTGTCCCCGGGGCAGGAATGCTCTGTCTCAGACCCAAGGCCCAGGGGGGTTCTGCTGGGAGGAGCTGAGGGTGGATTGAACCTCTCAGTCTGAGCTGGGCAGATAGAAAGTTGAACGAACCCTTCCCTACTCAGACGCTCACCTGTAAGCTCACTTTCTTCACTGGCACAGGGTTTCTCATCCTCTTCACTGTCGAGGTTGGGGCCTAGATCATCCTTCCTTGTGGGGGTCTGTCCTGTGCATTGTAGGATGCTTAGCAGCATCTCTGGTCTCCACCCACCAGGTGCCAATAGCTCCCTCCTCCCTGGTTGTAATAACAACCCACAGTGTCTCCAGACATTGCCACTTCTGTTTGGGAGCCACTGGTCTGGTAATGAAGAGAGGCAATTACAGGCCCCAAGATGAAGCAGCATTTTCTAAAATCATTCCAGATTCAGCAGTGGAATGGGCAGCACTGAGGTAGAGAACTATAGGATTTACAAATTAGAAGTGGCTTTAAAAATCATCCGACTCGGTGGGTTTTGAATTT